GGGACTGCACAGCGCGGCCCGTGGCCTGGAAGGTCACGGCGTATTTATATGATGGTATTTATGGGCCGTGGGCGTGCCCGCTGCAGCCTGGGTGCTGGAGGGCGCCTGGATCCTGCCGCCCCCGGAGGCCCGGACTCAGGACTGCGGGGTTTGGGGGCCCCCGGGTGTGGGGTTTGGGGGCCCCCGGGTGTGGTCCAGCACCTTGTGAAACCCAGGAAGCTAAGAAAGGAGCGCGCTTCCCGAGGCCTGTGCGTGTGCTGCTCTGTGTGGGCGCCGGGGGCGCGGGCACCATCATCCTCCGACAGGAGCCTCCCCTGACCAGGGAGGACCCCGGGCACCTGGCCCACTCGGCCCCTCCTCCACCCTAGCGATGGGGTGCCCACAAGGAAAGCTGGGGTTGACCCTGGTTCCCAGGGGCTGCCAGAGGAGCCCACAGCCCAGGCGCCCGAGACCCGGGGTGGTGCGGGGGCAGCATGGGGCCCACCTATCCCTATTCCTGCCCTCAGGCCAGAAACAGCGGCGAGGAGCGACCGTCTCGAGGCAGGGTGCCCTCAGAGGGTGGGACCCAGATTGTCCCACCAGACACGGGCTGAACTGCAGCCCTGCCCCCTCCCCTCCCACAGCCCCACCCCTGAGAGCACAGGGCCTCACAGGGCAGAGTACGGAGGGAGGTTCTGGGAAGCCCTGCCCCTTAACAGACAAGCAGTGAACAGCGGAGAACGAGGAAGCCCAGTTAATGAGCCTGTCCTGGGACTCAAGTAAACACGTGACTTGATTACCCGGGAGGGGAGGGGCGATGGAGGCAGTTAAAAGGGAGCCACCAGGGAGACTGAGTCAGGGTGGCGGCACAGACACAGCCAGCGGGGGCTTCCCAGCCAGGAAGGTTCCCAGCAGGCAGCCGGCAGGCAGAGAGAGAATAGAAATGGATAAAGAAGGGTTGCTGTCCATCTAATCTATATATATAAAAGCCTAAGCGACCGGTCGACTGGTTGCTATAACATGCACTGACCACCAGGGGGCAGACGCTCAATACAGGAGCTGCCCCCCGGTGGTCAGTGCGCTCCCACAGCCAACCTCCCTCGGCCCTGATTGTCAGCCAGGCCAAGGGACCCCACCCACACACGAATTCGTGCACCGGGCCTCTAGTTGAAAAAAGAGAGAAAACCACTGAGGAAGTAGCAGTGAACAAGTTCTCAGACCAAAACGCAGCCAACCTCACACCGCGCAGCAAAACATCAGCAAGACAGACACGACCCAACGAGCGTTGGGGACATCGGCGCCGAGGAACATGCTGAAATGCCCGGAAAAGGGCCGGCTCCAGAGCGGCGTCAGACGCCGTAACAGAGACACTCCAAGCAAAGAGACGCAGATATTCTGTGTTCAATGTTGGAGGAGGAAACCTGAAACTCGAGTTTGACGTCCTGTAAACGACCCCCCGCAGCACAGCCCACCAGCCCACGAGCCCACGCTGCTCTGGGCGGTCGCCTGAGGGATTCTGTGCCACAGGGTGCTGGAGGACGGCGGGTGTGTGTGGACATGCGTGTGCATGTGTGTGTGCACATGTGTGTGTGTGCACGTGAGTGCATGGGCCATGAGCCAGTTGCACCCTGCAAACAACCTAGTGAGAGAATCAGCAACTGAGACTCAGATGTCCTGCCCGAGAGGGGTGTGTGCTCCCCTCCACCCCCCTCCCGGCCGCTGGAGGAGGAGGAGGAGGAGGAGAAGTAAAGGAGTAAATGCGTATGGGGAGGGGTTGGAAGGAGGTGAAGGGTGTTTACCGTCCACACCACCTGGGGGATGTCTCCTGGGAAGGAGGGAAATACGCAGAAGATGGAGGAAACCCTCAGGCAAGTGGTTACAAACGACCCAGAGCAGGCCCCGGGCACAGCGAGCACCAGGCCACAGCGTTTCCCCGGGAAGGCGCTCTAGTCGCATGGACACGCTGCGTGGTGAGGCCTCAGGACGGAGCAGGAGTTCTAACGTTCCAGCTGAAAGCACCGTGAGTGACTGTAACACGCACAGGCTCGGGCTCAGTGACAGGTGGGCATAGTTCTAACTGGCGGCTTCTTTACAAAACCCAAGCCGTTCTTTACGCAAAAGGACATAAGCCATGGTGACCTGTGCAAAAGCGTTAACACGCTCTACGCTGATCGTCATATGTCACATTCATGTGCGCACACGTTTACATGTGTACATAGACTTTACACTCAGAAAAAGGAGCATCACGGGACATTTAACAAAATCAAAATCTCTCCGAAGACGAATAAGAAAGAAAAAAAACTCTAGCAAGAATGTTTTTATTTTTTATTTTTTTATATATTTTATTGATTTTTTACAGAGGAAGGGAGAGGGATAGAGAGTTAGAAACATGGATGAGAGAGAAACATCGATCAGCTGCCTCCTGCACACCCCCTACTGGGGATGTGCCCGCAACCACGGTACATGCCCTTGGCCGGAATCGAACCCGGGACCCTTCAGTCCGCAGGCCGACGCTCAAACCGGTCAGGGTGGTCCTTGATCTTTTAAACGTAAAGCAAGGAAAAATGTACAGAAAGAAAACAGCAGACCCAATAGGGGTATGAAACTGAAGAAGGAATGTTAAGAACAACTGTGTCCCGAGAACTGGAAACAGGAAAACGGGTGTGTTCTGGGGAAATACAAGCGCCAGGTACATCCATACGCAGGTAGAAACAGCTCTTCCACCCAGAACAGCGAATGCAGTGAGCACCGCGCTCCCTCCGCACCTGCCCCTCCCCAAGGCCGGCCCGTGTCTGCCGGGTCCTAACGCCAGGCGTGCAGGGCGGTGCAAGGAAAGGGAATCACAGGCCCTTTGTACGAAAAAATCCCAGTAAAACGTTAGCTCCTCAAACAAAAATATTTTTAAAATAACGTGAGGTTGAGCCGTGGGGATTGGATTGGATTCAGACGCCCGGATGGCTTCACATCAGAAAATGCGTCCGTGCCTCCGGGTGAGGCCGGAGGACCGATTGCCTCGATGGCAGCAGAAGGCGTGCGCCCGGGCCGGCATGTCTGTGGGATGGAAATTCTCAGGGGGCCGGACGGCAAGGGCCTCAACGATGCGAGGCGCCTCGAGTCCAAGCGAGTGGCGGGGAAGCCAGCGGCCCAGTCTACCCAGGAGCTGCCGGGCCTTCCCTCCGCGGTCCTGCTGTTCCCGCGGGGCTCCTGTGGCTCTCGGTGGCCTGACGGACAGCTTCCCCACTAGGGGTGGCCCCTGGGGGGCACGGGCTCTGCCTGCTCCGAGGGACCCCCGGACAGGGCCCAGGGGACACTGTGGGCAAGTGAACAAATTCCCTTCACCACCAAGAATCCATGTCTCTGGCGCCCCCACCCCAGCAGAGCTCGTGGGGCCAGAAACAAGAAGGGAGCAGGGCGTGCGTGTGCGCGCGCGCGCGCGTGTGTGTGTGCGTGTGTGCGTGTGCCTGTGTGTGCGCGTGTTGGGGAGACACTGACCGCCCTGGCTCCAGGGCTGGGCTGTTGCTATGGAGGAGCTGAAAGTGCTGACAGGTTAGCGGGGCCTACGGGCACGTGGCCAGGGGCCGCCAAGTCACAGGCGCGAGCCACGTGTAAACCCACACAGACAACCGTTCAACACGGCAGCGCCGACTGGAGAACAAAGAAGCCGCCATTCCCGGTGCGACACCCAGCACACACCCAGGGGTGCCTCTGTGGCGGGACCTGCAGGGGCCTGGCCCGGGAGGACGTCCTCTCTCCAGCCCGTGTCCACGTCTGACGGGACCCCAGTCTGTCCAGAGACCCAGCGACGGGCCAGACAGGTGACAGCGGGGGGAGTGACTTGGGATGTCCAACGCGAACAAGGGTGTGTTACTGGGGACGGTGACAAATAACGGGGTGACAAGGAAGTGAGCAGAATTCATGGAAACACCGAGGCCGTCCAGCTTGACTGGCGTGCGGCTCCACGCCCGAGGGCCCCCCATGGGGAGCCGAGGACTGTCATCGAGGCGGGGGAACGGGGACCCACAGGCACCGTCCCACCAGGGACACTCAGAGGCCTCCCATGCCTCGAACCCTGAGGGCTCAGCGCAGTGCCCCTGCCGGCCACCAGGGGGCAGTAGAGGGAGCCAAGCCAGGGAGCTGGAGAGCTTGGCGGGCACATGGATCCCAAGACGGTGTTGGGGATCCAGGCCTTTAAGTCAATCAGGTGCCTCTGCCTCAAAGGGGACCCTGACTTACAAGGACGGGGGGCAGGGGGGTCAGCCGCAGGCTCCAGTCCAGCTCCCACGGTCCCTGCTCTGCAAACACATCTCCAGGGGCCCAGGCCAGGAGGCCATGGCGGGGGGCGGGGGGGGGCCCTCACTGTCAGCAGGGGCTTCCCAGGCTGTCCTAGGACGCCTCGCCGTCTCTGGGCAAACCCGCGACCCTGCGTGGGCCAAGGGCTTGGGCCTGTTTCTCACCTGCATCGGGGGGCGCAGCCGGCTGGGCCTGTTCGTGTCCTGAGCTCGGAGCTCGGAGCTCGGTGCTCGGCCCCCACAGCCTCTGGCCGCCACCCCGCCTGCCCTGGACATCCTGAGGGCTAAGCGTCCGACTCCTCCTTACTCATGAGGCACAGGCGCTGCGGCTGCTTGAAGACCCGAGGTTTCCCGCCCGAGGCCCGGCATTGAGGGTGTTTCCCGCCCGAGGCCCCGGCATTGAGGCTGTTTCCCGCCCGAGGCCCCGGCATTGAGGGTGTTTCTCTCCCGGAGGCCCCGGCATTGAGGGTGTGGCCTCAGGCTTTCCACAGCCACTTTCCTCCATTGCCTGGACCAGGCCAGGCAGCGGATGGGCAGTGGCTGGCCCGCCCTCCTGGGGGGCTCAGTGGGGAGAACATGGGGGTCTGTGGGAGGAGTGGCCCCTCTTGGTCCAGGGGATGGGCAGCTGGGCTCACACAGGATGCTGCCCACTGGCTTCCAGAGACCATGCACACCCACACACACGCACCTGCACACGCACCTGCACACACACCAGCACACGCATCTGCACACGCACACACACACACACACACCTGCACACGCACACACACACACCTGCACACGCAACTGCACACGCACCTGCACACGCACCAGTGCCCACGGCACTGCACGGACAGCAGGGCGTCCACCCAGCTCCCAGGTGGGAAAACCAAGGCCTCGCACTTCCTCCTGTCCAGCCGGTGAGGGCCTGACCGACCCGGCCCCCTGGGCCACGCCCTCCAGCCCTGGCCTTGCCCCCTCCCTCACCCCCATGCCGGGCAGCGTCTGCCCAGACGGCCCTGCTGGGGCTCTGTAGGCCTTTGCCCTCTGCTGAGGCCACGGAGGACACCTGGAGGTCTGGGAGCAGCGGCTCCACCGTCCTGGCCCAGGGGTTTCCCTCCTGAGGCTGTGGCACTGAGAGTGTTTCCCTCTCCGAGTCCGCGGAGGTCCATCCCTCTCAGCCCCTCCCCTGGGTGGCCCTTCCCTCCTGGGCCCGCGGCCGACCAGGGCCTTGTTCACGGGACCCTCTGTGCTGAGCCATCTTATCGGGGCGCAGAGGGCTCCCGACCGCGCCCAGGAGGAGGGGCCAGTCGCACCCCTGGCTTTGATGCCGAAGCCGGTGCCCAGTGGGATGTGGCCGACCATCCAAGGACAGCCCTGCCAGCCGAGGCCACAGGAGGGCCGGTGGGGCTCCTGGGAGAGTGGACGATCCTCGAGCCTGGCCAGGCAGCCAACAATCCCCCGCCCCCGCCCCAGCCCCGAGGTCCGCCGGCCTCTCCCATCTGCAAGTCCCCTCTGGGGCGTCTCCCAGGCTCTGCTGTCCTCACGCCCCCAGACCCACTGGCCTTGCCCATGACTCTGGCTGGACAGATGAGGGCCAAGAATGAGCCCGAGGGGCCCTGAGCGGGCGCCCAGGCGAGTGACCCAGCACAGTGACCCCACACAGGCCAGGCCCCCGCCCTCGGCACCCTGGGGGCTCGTGAGGCCAGTGCGGCTCAGGTGTGCGTGGAAACCGGGTGTTGCACAAGCACTTTAATGTCCCCGGGAAGCGCAGTCACAGTA